AATTTGCTTTCAAAATGCATATGTATTGATTGATTCGGGTTTTACGCATTCATTTATTTCTGCTAAGTTTGCCGAGAAGATTAATAGGAAACTAGAACCCCTTGACTATGTGTTATCTGTATCTACTCCATCTGGGAGATCTATGAATGTTGCATCCATCTATCGAGCATGTGTTGTTATGATTGGGAATGTTGAACTGTTAGCTGACTTAATGCCATTGGACATTACCCATTTCGACGTTATATTGGGGATGGATTGGTTAGTGGCAAATCATGCGTCCATAAATTGTGTTTCTAAAAGTGTCACATTAAAACCCCCAAACCTAGCCGAGGTCACGTTTCAGGGAAAAGGTGTAGTATCCCCACCTTACTTAATTTCATCCATGAAAGCCTTTAGGTTGATCCAAAAAGGGTGTCAAGGTTATTTGTGTAGCATATAAAGTAATTTGAATGGAAGTGTTGAGCTAGCCGACGTCCCAGTGGTCAATGAATTCCCCGACGTCTTTCCAAATGATTTGCCTGGTCACTTAGTTGATAGAGAGGTAGAGTTTACTGTTGACATCATGCCGGGAACCCAGTCCATCTCTAAAACACCCTATAGGATGGCCACCGCCGAGCTTAAGGAATTGAAACTTCAACTACAACAGTTGCTAGATAAGGGTTTTATTAGGCCGAGCACTTCACCCTGGGGAGCACCCGTCTTGTTTGTTAAGAAGAAGGATGGTACACTTCGTCTTTGTATTGATTACCGAGAACTGAATAAGGTAACCATCAAGAATAAGTACCCGTTGCCGAGGATAGACGATTTGTTCAATCAGTTGCAAGGAGCACGAGTCTTTTCCAAAGTTGACCTTAGGTCGGGCTACCATCAGCTTAAAGTCAAAGCCGAGGATGTTGAGAAGACTGCTTTTCGGACGAGGTATGGCCACTACGAGTTTTTAGTAATGCCTTATGGAGTGACCAATGCCCTTGCAGCCTTTATGGATTTGATGAACAGAGTCTTTAAGCCATATCTAGATGAGTTTGTGGTTGTCTTCATCGATGACATATTGATCTACTCTAAGAGTAAAGCCGAACAGGAGGAGCATTTGAGACTTACCTTACAAACTTTGAGAGATCAGAAATTGTATGCCAAATTTAACAAGTGTGAGTTTTGGCTTTCCACTGTTTCATTTTTGGGTCATGTGATTGATGAAGAGGGTATTTCGGTCGATCCTAGTAAAATTAAAGCCGTTGTGAATTGGCCGAGGCCGACTAATGTGTCCGAGGTTCGTAGTTTTCTGGGATTGGCAGGTTATTACAGGAAGTTCGTGAAGGATTTCTCAAGGATTGCAATTCCGTTGACACAACTGACTAAGAAAGGAGCGGCTTACGAATGGACTAAGGATAGGGAAGCAGCCTTCCAGGAGTTGAAGATGAGGTTAGTCGCAGCACCAGTTCTTGTACTACTATCAGGTAATGAAGAGTTTCATGTTTATAGTGATGCTTCGCATAAGGGTCTGGGTTGCGTATTAATGCAAGGGGGTAAGGTCATAACATATGCCTCTCGTCAATTGAAGCCACATGAAAAGAATTATCCCACCCATGATTTAGAATTAGCAGCCGTGGTGTTTGCTTTGAAGATTTGGCGCCACTCCCTGTATGGAGCTTCTTGTCAGGTTTTCACAGATCATAAAAGTTTAAAGTACTTGTTCACTCAGAAGGAATTGAATATGAGGCAAAGAAGATGGCTTGAGTTGTTGAAAGATTACGATATGCAGATTCAATATCACCCAAGTAAAGCTAACACCGTAGCCGACGCTTTGAGCAGAAAGATGGTTGGAAAATTGGCCTGTCTAACTGCAATCTCAGTGGAGCCGACTATTGTTGAGGAGGTAAAGACAAGACAAATGGAGGATGAATTCTTCAAGAAGGTAGCCGATGAGATTATCACAAAGCCGAGATCAGGGTACACCATAGAAAATCAAGTGCTCAAGTTTGAAGGAAGATTGTGTGTGGCCGACATCCCAGAGTTGAAAAGAAAAATTTTGCAGGAAGCTCATGGTTCCAAGTTTGCTGTAAGAGTTGTCATGCTATCAATGACAAGCAACTTCACTTGGTGCTGGAGGAGCGAAACCTTGGTTTGCTGCAAGTTGGTGAAAAAGAAAACAACATATAATATTCAAAATTAATTGCAATAGTCTCTCAGTTGATAAGTCTAGAAAGAGTAAGAACAATGGGCTGCTGGGGTTGGTTGACTTTAGATTGAGCTTGAACTTGAGCAGGGCTTAATCTGAGAAAACAATTTCCTGTTCAAGTTTCATTTGCTAAGGTTTGGCCAAACTCAATCATGTTCATGAGCCTAATCAAGCTTGTCAAGTTTGTTCATTTACCTATTCATTCTAATTTCCATATCGAAAGATATTCAACTTCAATTGCAATTACAAGATACTCCAAGAGCTTATCCATATTTTTGTCATATCTAAAACGCAAGGTACTTTTTCCTTTTTGTCACAGTTACCAAAGCCATATAAGTGTAGCGCCAACTTTTCATGAGGCCTCAAGTAAATCCCAATTTCAATAGAGTTAGTTTGTGGAGCAATCTTGCCCAAAACCTAAGCTTGAGCTTGGTTGTGAATGGGCTTCTTAACAAGCCCAGTATGAGATGCTTATGTCAACATTACTTTCTTTATAAAACCCTGTCTGAACTTAAATTCAAGAGGAAAGTTTGATAAAGCCTCTAGGAGGTCATACCAGATAGTTCAAATATTCATATGTTAACCATCTAACAAACTGGGTTATCTAGACAACCCTCAAATCGAACCATACCACCCTTAAGAGGGTCTTGTCATAGACTCATAATCTTTGTGGTTCATGAGTGAAACATCTCAGCTGGCTCTAACAAAATGTCTCATTTATATCTTACTACCCCAAGTTCTCAAAATGTCTCATTTATATCTTATTATATTCACTCTAGGTTAAGTACAAGAAATCTGACTCTAGTTCACACCTCTCAGTAAGTTCTCAAAATGATACAAAATGATTCACATAATAAAACAATGAGATTGTAATGATATCAAGGTACTTCCAAGACATGCTGTGAATATGACAATATGAGACGCCCGAATAAAAATTTAACTGATCGAATACATCATATAGAATATATAGAGCATTACCACCCAATAAATGATATTTCGAACTACACCATGAAGATGTAGATACGCTCACCTGCCAAGGAGCTGCAAAAAATATACTGTAATCTGGCCAAAATACAAGGAGTCATAAAAATTTTTAGACAAATTTGAGGAGGTGGTTAAATGGGTATCTGCTTCCAGGTAAAAAAATTAATTTTAAGACTACATGTAAACTCAGTCATCTCTTTATACAACATTAACAGTCTTAAAAGAGGCTCTCAATCAATCGGCACTTCAAATTGAATCTAATCATTCGATTGAGGTTTTTTTTAAAGAAACGTTATTGATATATATATATAAAGTAAAGTGTACATTACATCAATAGTGAAGACAAAAGCCCCAAGATAGTTGCCTAAAAACTCTAAGCAACCGCACCCAAAAATAATGTTCTTGGTCCCATCTAACAAATAATCCCAATAAAAACTACAATATAAAAGTAGGTAAGATGCTCACTGTGCAAGACAAAAACAAGACAAAGTGTAGCAAAGTTACTACCAGTATGAACTCAAAAACAAATGAAAAACAGAACCCCATAAGAGGCAAAATCTGTTCCACCTTCAATCAGTGTGAACAAAGGAAAAACATTCCTGAAGCAGCAGAGTGGAGCACCACAGAGGTCTTCATCACTGCGTTGGGTTTATAGATATTTTATAATGAATTTCAAGCACACAACAATAAATTTTTGTAGAAGTACCTTGATATTACTTATGTTCTGACACAAAGCAAACTACAATGCACATAGTTAAACACATATGCTAATTAATCATGCTTCACACATTAGTTTCAAGATTGACAAAACAAAGCACAAGGAACAACATACCAGACGATTTGGTGAGACGATCCTAGATAATAAGCGAAGGAAACAGAAAATTAAGTCAGAAGAAGAAGGAAAACCAGAAGCCAAACTCATAAAAGTGAACTATCGAAAAAAAATCAAACAAACCTCAAAGACCAAGGCATCAATCTCATGAAGGAACTGCTCTGAGAATGAACAATTGCCATTGAGCCTAGTTGAATATAGCTATAAAAGTATCATTTAGAATATAGCTATAAAAGTATCATTCAGTAAATCACATTCGAAAGATGAATAGTCATTGTCATAATCCATTTGGGCAAAAAGTATCATTTAGAGTATAGCTATAAAAATAAAAATTCAGTGCACCATAAGCTGCTATGATAGATATCATGATAGAAAAGTTAATGCACTTTTTAACTGCCAGTCTTAATATTTCATTTCTCACCACACATTGTATGCATAAGTAATCATGCAATATAGTTCTAAAATAAGGGTTCAATGCGTGATAACCTATGAGAAGGAATTCAATAATAGTTTAAAACTGGCGAATGTACATCTCACTAATTGATTGTAGATAATATTTGGTGAACAGAAATGTTACATGGAAAACTAAGTGACGAGCATAGTAGAGAACTCACAGCAAGCACTCTGCTGCATCATATATGCCCATGGTTCCGGTACTTGTGTCATCAATTTTCAAGATAACATCCCTAGACAAAATGCCAGCCTTATTTGCAGGACCGCTTGGAGCAGCTGAAATTACCACCAGTCCTGCACGTAATCCATCACCTTCTATAGGGTAGCCAATTGACAGCCCTACACCTGTAACAGCACCTTGTGTCCCGAACATCCTTCAAAGGACATATTAAAAGATTTTAGAGAGAATATCAAAAGCCACAAAATTCGCTGACCCAAAATAGTTAAGAAAAGGCTTCCTCGAGTCAAAGAACAAGATACATTGAATTAAATGGGTGAGAAGAAACTGCCTTGTACCCTGTTACAAGTGCTAAGAACAACAGCTTCCTTTATATGATTCAGAGCGCAAAGCTCACTAATCGCTTGAGGCCATTGTGCTTCGGGAATGGAAAGCTTTTCACGTATCTCAACTAGTGCTGTGTGAACATTGAGTCCTATGGCCACGACACTGCTTCTATCTTTTGTATATCCTGAGAGAAAAACAGAGTATAAATATTTGAACAATTGTGCCTTTAATTAATATTCCTTGTGACAAGTTAAAAATGAGGCTTGGTAATATAGCAGTTGCTTTTGCAACAACACATACCAATGAAGCAAAGATGACATACTATTCAATCCAAAGTACCAATACAAATTAACAGCTTTAAGCATCAATACAAATTAACTAGTAATATCTGATAAATATGTTTTAATATTCTTTCTTGATTAAAGGTAGTATAGCTATGCATCTGTATAATTGGTTAACTTGTTTGTTGTTTGTTTCTTTCTTCCCATTTCATGTAATGTCTTCTAGATTAAAGTGACATCTAGATTTATCTTGAATTGGTGCATAATTTTTTTATTATAGCATTGAAGAAAGGCTTCTTATAATTGTACACACAAGAAATTTCTCAGTGTTTTGTACGTCAAGCTATTCATGTAGCCTTGTCTGCACTTCAATTTGCATTCGTATTGCTTCGCTAATATGTAAGCTTCTAAATAAAAGGTTTAATAATTAGCGTATCAGTTCAAGTAATTTTTAGAAAATAAAGAAATAGATAAAGGAGCAGAAAGAACATGAAATGGGTTTTGAGATCTTACTTATTTGTTTTGGGTTTCAATGCTTGAATTACTCATGAGTTCCATTTGCCTCAGACATCCTTTCTCTTGCCACTACAACCATTCCTAAATTCTGTAAGCTATTCCATTGCCAGTAGTTGGCGTAGCTCAAAATAATTTATACTCCATAATTGTTGAACTTCTTACCAATTTTTTTTGTTCCAATATTAGAGTGCCCATGGAGATTCTTACTGAGCCTGTATTTCTGCCAAACCAAAATTGGAGTAGTTATTCTAATCTGTGTGCTTATATACAAATATATGAATATGAAAATCCCCTAAAAATAAAAATAAAAATCTGAGACAAAGAATATCTCAACTAATAAGTTTCAAAACTAATTGAAATATCTGTAACAAAGAAGAGATATTTCAATTAGTTGAGCATTAGACAATTTTCCTTTGGTTTCTTCTTAAACTTATTATGTTGTATGCACTCACTGTCTGCTCCTCCAAGCTGATTTACTGCTTCTATGAACTGCTCATGGAGGTCTTTTGTCCATTTCAGTCTAGGCTTTGTATTGGTTGAAAGTACAAGTCCAAAATCTCCTACACCATTCCCCCATTGCAGAAACAAATGCCTTTCTGGAGGAATGGATCCTCTTGAGGAGGGGTGGATGTTCTTTCCTTGATGATGGTGATGATGATACATCTGCCTTCAAAATGATGAATTTATGATTAGTTTAATGCAAAGAGCACAAACAGTTACTATGATCTTATTCAAAAGCAATTGTGTTTTTATACTTTATGTCGGAGTTATACATGTCAAAGAACTATAAATAGTGTAATACCTTTCTGATAGCACAAGGGAAAATGAAAATGCAGGCTATTGTCTTCCTAATTCACTCAGATTGAGCAAGGCCTATAAAAATTATTTCAAGGTTGACACAATGAATAAACTTGTCCATCTGCCTAAACCATGA